ATTTCTTAGAAACTTCTCTAATTTCTATATTTATATAGTAATTCTCTTCCGAATTGTGGACTCTTACAAATTGAGCCAAATTTTTCTTGGTGACATGGAATGAAAATCTTAGTTCAGCGTATGGGTTGTTCCACACAATACAATTATCACTTCTCTGTAGTCATCTGTCCTCGCATTCTTAATAGGTTGAGCCATGTTCCATTTTTTGTGTGTTAATTTTAGCGTGAGATTCCATTTTGACTCATTTCCTTTTTTTAATTCCTTCTCAACTTCGTTTATTTGTGACCGTAATCTGGCCGCGTTAATTGTTGCCGCAAAACTTGATGGGTTTTCTTCTGTTTATTCATTTTTTTTCTGTTGTTCTGTGGCAAAATATGTAGAGTAGTAGAAGCCTATTACAAACAATACGAGCAACCACACTAATTGTTATAATTTAGAAAAAATAAGAAAGATATATTCATAACAAATTTAATCATGACCCTTCATCATCTTTGGATTTGTCGTTTCTCTCTTGGGAGAGAATAACATTGTCAGAATTGCGCTCTTTTGTAATTACCTTTCTGCCTTCACGGGAGAAAACACTTCTTCTACGTGCAATTATAACTAAAAATAAAGTAATTTATTCTAAAAAATACTGTCTAGTTATCCTAAGCCATACACAGTACAGAAAGTACAGTTAAATTAGAGAGTAATAAAATTGGAAATGAATTCCATTAAGCATTTAAAAATAATGAATCTTGAGAAAACTAATTTTAATCTTGAGAACAATAAATAACAGTATTCTTTTTTCTGAAAAAATAGCTGTAATAAACTAGTGGTGCTGCAATAGTACAGCATTATTTTCTACTACTTCAATGTGTAAAAGTAAAGTGTTTCTAACCAGCAACAAATATTCGCCCAGGCTGGGATTTGAACTTAAGCACTTAGTTTCATAGGGTACCTTCCCACTTTGACTCTACCGATTCGCGCGCTAGGCATTCTGCGTCCCAAATGCTAATATTAACTCTTGATTCTAACACATTGCCACTTGGTGATAACTACTGATACTTTAAACTGTATATCAAATGGTTTAAAGATCTAATATTGAAGAAAATATTGCATGAAAAAGAAGTCTATCATCAATTTATTTTTTTTGTCGATTTTCAATTTTCTTTAATGCAGAGATTTAAGAGGGGGCTACTTCAGTTTTGCACCCTCTCTTCATTACTCACAAAACTCTGTTTTCTGTGAAAATACTGGCACTTTCCTCTGCATCCCCTCACAAGTTTTCTATAATTCATATAATATAAAGCAAAAATGTGCTATACATATTTTAATTTCAACTTTGTTTGAACTATAGTTATTCACCTGTGTAAACGGCCATTATAATTTATTTTTTGTTTTCATTTTCTCTAGAAAAAAAATGTGCACTTCAACCAGAATTTGAAAACGGTACTACTGAGAATGCGAGCTGCATTTCTGTCTGCCATGATTTGCTTACGTAGTGGTATTTTTTTAAAGGAAGGCAGCACAGTTCACGATTTGTTGAGGGGAGTGCATTTCAACCTTGCAGTGACGAGACGGTGCCGATGGTTTCATTCATTTTATGTACAATAAGTAAGACTTGAATTAGAAGTAGAAGAGAGGCAAAACGAGAGTTCAAAACTGTATCACATCAACAAAAATGATTTGTAGCAAAGGGTTAAAAGTCTTAGAGAAACTGAACAAACATCCCCACCCACACAGGGAAGAGCAACTTCACAAGAGTTGTGAGAAGTGTGTGTGGCCGGGCAACTCCAATTAGGGCTGGGCTCGATTTTGGATCCTACAATAAATTGCAATATACCTAAAAAGTTTTATATATTTAAAAAAAATAATGCTACAAACACTTCGCAAAATATTACAACAATTTTCTGCTAGTTTGTATTAAACTATTATATGTTTTCAAGGTTTGGCAGGATCATATGCTACATTTTGTTTATTGGCAGTTCTGATGGCAGTGACACGTGAACACATACGTTTTCTAAGGAATATTTCTACATTCACGTTGATTCAAATGCACAAATGTTCTCCACATCTACGAGTACAAATACTAAAGTAAGGTAGCGTGTTTTATGACAGGCCTGTCTGTAAGAGAATGCCAGAGTTTCAAGACAGATGGTATCGAATAGTTGTGTTGTAAACATCCGATAAGCATTGAAAGTCAAAGCCATCACGTAAGAGTAGGAAAGATTCTAATAACGAAAGTTTTGAACCATAAAATAGTAACTCATTACAAAGGCAGAAGGAGACTTCTAGGAGCCTGCTGCTCTGAAGATTTTTGTGGTTTCTCCGATTAATACCAGGCGAATGCAGGAGCAGCACCTTCAAAAACAGGTCACGGATAGCGCACGATCTTTCCTTCGTCTTCTTTGTCTTATCCTCACCCGTTACTTACACATACACGCACATGCACTACACTACCATACCACTACTGTTCGGGAGACCAGTCGGGCAAGTCTCATACGTTGAAGTTACACATTTCAGCAAAGATGGCTGAGGGCGTTGAGTGATGTCGCTGCTGACCAGGGGGTTCTAGGGTTCGTGGTAGGCTCTTCAACCGTAGCTAGACAGCTAGATCCACTTCAGACGAGAACGCTAGCGACCGGCTGCTCTGGTCGGTTACTTGTCATGGTTTCTCCGATCAACACCAACATCAAAGCCACGGTCCGATCAACACTAACAAAAGCGCCATGGCCGCGAGCGATCTTTCCTTCCTCTTATTACACCTGCCCTCACTCCTTACTTTCACACGCACGACACCACCACACTTGTCGGGAGTTTCGAGCTTTCCCCGCACGGGGCAGAGCCTCGCAGGTGGGAGATACCTGGTTGGGGAAAATCCCCGAAGGTCCAGATAGGTCGGCATTGGATCTCGCCAGCCAGCGGGGGATGTTCACAGCCCCTGTCGCGATAAAATATGCACTACCCTTACGGGGCTAAGGACCTTAGCAATTAACGCGCCCGACATCACTAATCAATCAGCCAATCCTCCCAATTGGTAGACAATTGTTAAAGTTAAGTGAGCTGAGAATATTCACGAACACAGGGCAGTTGAGGCGAGAGGTCGCATCGAAGGGTCTGATGGCAGAGAGTCATTCGATCGACCTGCTGACATCCATTAGGCCACGCACCCGCACCCTTGTGTGCTCGCCAACAGGCCATTCACGCCCGCGCACATTCCAGCGCTTGTCGCTATTGAGACACGCGCCGCCGCGGCCATTGTGCTGCGCGGCTCGCGCGCTCAGTTCTGCTCGCGCAATTATACCCGCGAGGGGCCGATGGATTGCTCCCACATAATGTGATGTATGCGGGATGAATCGTATTCGAAGTTATGTATGACCAGTAATCTATTTTTACAGAATAAATACTCTCCACACTATTTACATAATGCACACCAGATTCACTATATCACTTTTTGCACAATAATATAACTATCTCCTAGTTTGATACATTGGATATAAGCAAAAGCTCTATTTTATCTGTGTCCATCGTAGGTCGACAGTCCTCAATTTATTGTACATCTTACAATATCTGCGAGATCTGAAGCAATATTTCTTCCACAATAGGAATAGTTTTCCAAATTTTGGAATATATCAACAACATGAGTAATGTTAAACTGCGTCCATTCTCGTTTGACAATTTTACTAGAGTTAATACAAAGTAGTGATGTGGGGTCCTCATCGTTTGCCACATCAACTTTGTAGTTGTAATAGATTTTTCTTAACTATCACCACGTATATATTCAATTATACTAAAAGTAGAAGGGCTCTTTTTAAATGACAAGATAATTAAAATGTTATATCAAAAATTTCTTAAGGGCGTTTCGAACCATAATTAACCTCCTTCCTGCAGTATTTTCTGTACTCCCTACTTGTCATACCTTTTCTTCACCCATTACTTTTCATTATGGGTACTCAATAACATCTACGTTTATATGATATCAAAGATGGATTAAAAGTTATTTTTAAATATATCTATAAATAAAACTTGTAACTCCTGTAATGAAACTTCAAACTCAACTCAGAATATTGGTATTTTGCAGTTAAAACCATGCCAAACCAAAGTCTGAAAATAGTATACATAAACCTAATAGAAAACTTAGCAGCAAAATCACAAATACTACTAAACTCAAACCAAACTGCAGCTAAAATATTCATATTTACACCATTTATCTCCTCTTTTCCACTAACACTAATTAATGAACTGAGAACTGCAACTCTCCAAATAATCTCATAAAGTGCTAAACATGAACAATCATCTAAACTGGAAATAAGTACATAGTAAACAAAGTAATACTAGCTAATAGCAAGTTACCTCAACTAAAACAACTAATCAATAAAAAAGATAATTTATTATACAGCACTCACAAGACACCAAACCACTCCCACTGTAGGGACTACGCATGTCAAATATGGCTAAATGCATTCAAAAGCAATCTAAATAAAATCCAAATACTTCAAAATCAATTCCTAAACTCAAAAAAACTCACAATGGTTCATTTCAAATAAACAGCTTCACAAAGAATTTATATCCAATATAAATCCCAGTACATCATACACTTATCTATCCGTTTTTACTCTAACCTAAAGCATACACCCGAAACGTAACCAGCTTCAATATAGACAGAAGCATCTACTCAACAAGAATAAAAAATAAGTTCCTTTTCCGCATAGTCTTAAAGATATTTTCTGAAATGGATCGCATTTAGAAGTGATTTATCGTTTTCTTCAACCATAGCGCTAATTTTAACATTAAGTTTAGATGTAGTTTTTTAGTCAACAACCATTTGTACACTTATTAAATAAAGTGTGCTATTTACTAGTCAACAAAATAAAAAAAATAAACGAAAAGAAACTATGATTTCATCGAACAGAGCTATCGCGTACAGCGGAAACAGATATTGATTTTATGCGCTGGACTGTCGTTCACAAAACGGTTCTTTTTTCAAAATTTCAAACGGAACGGGCAGAATTTGATCGCTATGCGGGGGTCCACTCTAAACTGTATAAAATAGGAAAAATAAAAAACGTTTATCCGAACTAATTGGTTAATTAGTTATAATAGCGCATGTGGAGCCTTTTCGTTAAATTGCGCAGTTTGCAGATAAAGCTCTTTGGTAGACATCTATAATTCTAAATGGTGTCCGATCAGAATTGTCAACAGAGAAATGTTTAATAGTGAACCCTGTCTTTGAAAACAAAAATTGTCATTCCATTTAAGGGAACCAATATTCATCCAAAATTGAAGAAAAGTCCAATCAAGATTTGATAAAAGATGTTTGAAGAAACAGAAAAACCGGCACTACAGTCTGAATTTAATAAAATGAAGCAACAATAAGAACCAGGAAAGAAAGACATATTCCAACCCCAACTCGAGAACTACTTGCTGAAACATTTTTTTTAATAAATTGACATAAATTGAATTAATAAATCATACCTAAAAAATACAACAGAAGACATGTAAAATATCAGAGATTAAAAATGAAAAGATTAGAGATTACAAATAAGAACCTTGAAAATATCATAGACACGGCATTGGATGGATGGATCTGAAATGAAATCAATTCTTAAGTGTCTTTCAATTCTTCTATTCATTCAAGTGAACTCAGCCTTCAAACTTTTGGTGTCAATTTATCTTTACCAGAAAATCTCTTTCTTAAGTTATCTCAAAATCGGCTGAACCGACTATACCTGTCAGGCGTCAAAAGAACCTTACTCACAATAGCTGACATTACAATTCCTGAGCGAAAACATCGAATAGTCTACCAAGTATAGGTACTCAAGAATTCTATGGAGAACAGTTTCTGCATCTCGCAAATATTATTTGAAGCAAGTGCCATTAAACTAATATTAAATCGATGAAATCAGCAAAAAATGCATTAAAAATTACGGAAAGAGGTAAAAAATGACTTATCCGAATTGGACGAAAAATGGAAAAAATGTATAAAAGTGGTTCATTTCCCTTCGTCATAACATAAAATAAATTTCTATAATAAATATAATTTTTTAAAGTGAAAAAAATGGCACTTCATATAAATCCACCCTTAGTGATCACACATCGACTTAGAGAAAGTAATTTACTACATATTGGAACAGGATTTATCCACTTTTTCGGTGTCAGGCAAACACAATGCCGAGTATTCATGTGAAAAAATAGCCGTTTTCCCCGCAGCTTCACAATACTTTCTCTAAGCTACGTTAGTCGTATGCGAGAAAGTAAAAAAGCGCATTTCGGAAGGAAAGCCGTAACAAAATTAATTGTGGTTTGCGGCCCCTGGCTGCTCCAGCTCCACGCGCTCATTTACTGCCGGT